AATTGATTTAGAATAAAGCTGATGTCTTATAAATGATCTAATTTTCATAATAAATTTTAGATTTCTCAGGAGGAAATATGGCATAAAATGACTTTAAAAATGTTTTATACAAGACATTTTTTAAAAACGTATTTTAGTGATTTTTTTTTTACAGAGCCGAAGAGAGAGGGATATAGAGTTAGAAACATCGATCAGCTGCCTCCTACACACCCCTCTCTGGGATGTGCCCGCAACCAAGGTACATGCCCTTGATAACGGAATCAAACTTGGGACCTTTCAGTCTTCAGACCAACACTCTATCCACTGAGCCAAACCAGTTTTGGCGATAAGACATTTTTAAAAGATATAAAATGAACACAGGTGCTTTAAAATATTTAATTTATGAATTTTAAAATATGAATCCTTCCATCTTTATTCTACAAAAATTTTAAGTTGGCTTAGTTAATGGATAAAGTTATGAAGGACTAAAACACAACAGAAAAATTTTGAGACTTTTGCAGGAAAAAAAATAAGCCACTATAAAAGATTTTAATGTAATATGTTTCTCAGGAGTAAAACTGTAGTTTTATTTATATATTACTTTAAATTAAATAGTCTGTGGTTTACAAGGATTTCTATGTTATAGGGTTTTGGTCTTGTTTTATTTTAATTTCCAGGTTTCTTTTTTCTACACCTTATCTTCTAATTCTAATAACCTCTTAGAAATGTGCATGTATTTCTCTCCATTAATAGCAGCTGCCATTTATTTCAGTTTAACACAAACACATAATAAAAAGTGCCAGAGTAAAGACTATGCAATTATGCATTTAACAAACTAGAATTTCCATTTTAGGGTCTGTTTTAAATTGGAATAGTGGTATCACTTAGAGCTATGAAATCTGTCCCATCACGCTGATAATAAATTAACACAAGATGACAGAGCCTGCCTTTAAAATAATTTAACTTTCTTTTGCTGTGCAGAAGCTTTTTAGTTTGATATAGTCCCATTTGTTTAATTTACCATTTGTTTCCCCTGCTCTGTGATATATATCAGCAAAAATATTCCTTCAAGAATTATCTGAAATTTTACTGCCTATGTTTTCTTCTAGGATTTTCATGGTTTCATGACTTACATTTAAGTCTTTTATATCCATTTTGAGTTTATTCTTATGTACTGGTATAAATTGGTAGTCTAGTTTCTTTTTCCATGTACCTGTTCAACTTTCCTAACACCATTTATTGAAGAGACTGTCTTTATTTACTCCATGGTATGTTCTTGCCTCCTTTCTCAAATATTAATTGACCGTAAAGCATGGATTTCTAGGTTCACTGTTTTGGAACCCACTGCATTGGAAAAAATATTTGCCAATGATACATATAATAAGGGGTTAATTTCCAAAATATATGAAGAACTTAAACAATTCAACACGAGGGAGACAAACAATCCAATTAAAAAATGGGCAAAAGACCCGAATAGACTCTTTCCAAAGAGGACATACAGATGGCAACAAATGTGAAAAAAAGATCAACATCACTAAGCATCCAAGAGATGCAAATCAAAACCACAATGAGACATCACCTCGTAGCTATCAGAATGGCTATCATAAAAAAGTCAACAAACAAGTGCTGTTGAAGATGTGGATTAAAGGGAACCCTTTTGCAATGTTGGTGGGAATGCACACTGTTGGTGAGAATGAAGCCACTGTGAAAAACAGTATGAAAAAATTAAAAATGGAATTGCCTTGTGACCCAGTGATCTCATTTCTGGGAATATATCCTAAGAATCTTGAAACATTAATACAAAATAATATATGCACCCCTATGTTCATTACAGCATCATTTACAATAGCCAACACCTGGAAATGGCCCAAATACCCATCAATAGATGAGTGAATAAAAAAGCTGTGGTACATTTACACAGTGGACTACTATGCAGCCTTCAAAAAGAAGGGATGCTTTACCTTTTATAAGAGCATTGATGGAACTGGAGATTCAATATGCTAAGTGAAATAGGACAGTCAGAGGACGACAAATATATGATCTCACTTAGATGTGGGATATAATGAACAAAGTAAATTGATGAACAAAATAAAAACAGAGGCATGGGTACATGGAACAGTCTGGCAGCTGTCAGAGGAGAGAAAGGTGTTGGTGTGTTGGGGAAGTGGATGAAAGAAGGTGAAGGGACTAGTCAAAGAACATTATACTTGACACGGAGGCACACACACAGTTGTTTATGGCCAAAGAAAATGGGGTATGCGGGCTGGATGGAGGTGGGCAAGATGGAGGAAAATAGGGATATCTGTAATTTTGCCAAAAATAACAATAAACTTTCAAAAAAACAATGTTACTCTCAATTTGCAAGTATATATTTAAAATTTATTATAAAAAATTTTACTCATACAAGAATAAATTCCTCGGGATAATTAATAATCACAGAAATCTATAAGTCTTTTATTTTCCATTGGTTGTTCTGATCTACCCATAAATTCTAAAGAAAAGAAGAAAAAGTGCATCTCTTTTAATAATAGATAAATATGCAAATTGTCTGTTACAGCAACATGTCATGGCCTGATCAGCAGGTTGCACCCCTGCCCTCTGCTCAGGCAGCTGCAAGGCCTGGCGTAGGATAGGATACAAAGGAGGGGATAAGAAAAGAGAGGGAGAGGAAGGCAGGCCTGCATGCAGACAGGCCCAGAGGAGAGACAGAAATACAGAAAGAAAACAAGAAAAAGACATAGAAATGGAAAAGGGAAGGAAATGCGGGGCTGCACTTGGGAGGGGGTGGTAACCGTGGACAAAGGGGGGGAGCAGGTGTGCCCAATGAGGGACAGGGCGGGAGCCCCACCAGACACAGGAGGAGGGTGGTGGCCCCCAGTGTGAGCCATTGGCAGGGAGGTGCCCATGGGTCCAGGACGGAGCGGTGATGGTTTGAGGCCTTCTGGTTGGAAGTGCTCATGCTGTGCAGCAGCAATAGCGCCTGGACTGCGTGGCCTTGGCCACCCTCGCAGAGCCAGGTGTCCCAGGCAGGGAGTGGGAGCAGGACGGAAGCTTCAAAAAGGGAGGGAGGGAGAGAGGGGGGGGAAGAAGTTTATAAAGGAGTCAGTAGATAGATGAGTTAAAGAAGGAAGAGGATGTATGAGTGAACTGTAGGAGCTATAATGGAAATCAAATATAATTGTGTACTGGGGACCAATTTTAAAAGTAGGAACCAGAAAAGAAAAAGATAAATGATAGTGAATAATGAGGCAGGAAGATAGATATTAAAACAGTGGAAGTAAATAGAAAAGAATGTGGATGAGAGAGAAAGGGAGGGAAGAAAAGTTTTAAAGGGGAACTGATAGAGCTCAAAAGGAGAAACGGAAGAAGGAAGAAATGGGGGAGGGAGTAAAGCAGGTCGGAGGGAGGAAGTGAAGGAAAAAAAATTAAGGTTAGAAGGAAGGAAAAGGGTTGGAAGGGCAGAGGTAAAGATAAAGGAAAGAAGGAATATGGGAAGGGAGGGAGGTTAGGAGAAAGATGTGTAGAAGGATGATGGAACAGAAGTAGGAAATAAAGAGGAAAGAAAAGTTTGTAAATGATGAGTCAGTAGAAAAAAGTGGTACATAAAGGAGAGAGAAAAATTGTGTGAGAGGGAGAAGCCAATAAGGAAGTCAAATACAATTGTGTGTGAAGGGGATAGATTAAAAAAAAAGTTAATAGGGGCAATCAGGCCGGCAGGGGAGGGCAGTTAGGAGAATCAGGCAGGCAGAATGGTTAGAGCAGGCAGGCAGATGAGCAATTAGGAGCCAGAGGTCCTGGGTTGCAAGAAGGGATGTCCAACTGCCAATTTAGGCCCCATCCCTGTAATATTCGGCCTCAACTGGAGGTTGGACATGCCCTGAGGGCTCCCAGATTGGAGAGGGTGCAGGTTGGGAAGAGGAACCCCCCACCGTGTGCACGAATTTCATGCACCAGGCCTCTAGTTAAATAATAACACAACCTACCACTGAGAGTTTCAAAATAAAGCTGAATACATTTTGTAGAAAAATCTGATTTTCACCAAATCTCATATTTTTTAGATACATTAAAAATATTTTCCACATCAAAATACCAATACTTTCTCGATTTTAATAGATGATTCAGGCTTAGTGAGTTACAGTGCTAATTTCTGTAATCTGAAGCAACGAATAAATTCAAGACAACAAAGTACTATATAATCCCCCAGTCAGCACATCTTTTTTTACTGCACAGAATCAACAGTGAGGGATTCTTTTTTCCCACGGGTATGTTTTTGTTTTTACTTTTAACCTGTTCATGAGAATGCTAGCACCTTGAGGGCAAGGGACCATTACTATTAGATAGTTCTCAGGCACTACGCTAGGAACTGGGGAAAAGCAAAAAAAGAGGGAATGGAAAGTCATAAGGAAAAAAACAATACTGTAAGTAGAATTAAAATAATGTCCTTTTTCATAATTATTGGATCTATATTACAAGAAACAGAACTTTTTGTCATGAAATGTACACTTCACTTGTTTCAAGTTCTAGTAGAATATATTTTCCTTTTTTGGTAATAAACAACATTTTATATTACTATTTCAATTCCCAAACATATTCCCATCCCTTTCAAGGGGTGTCAGTTCTGTGGGTTACTAATATTTAAAGTCATTTTAAAAATTAGTGTAATAAGTATTGATGAGAAGAAAAGTTCATGATTTAATTTTTTTCTTTTAGTGTGGCCACTTTTTATTAAGCACAATAAAAGGAAATAATATATTATAAAAATCTGAAACAGAATGAACATGTACCAAAAATTATTAATAGACATCACTCAAAATCCAGAAAATAGGTTGTTTCCATGTCCACATACGAGATAAGATAACACCATGGCAGAAGAGGGCTGCATCTGTGTTTAAAGAAGGGGTTGTTGGCAAACACCACAGCTCACTTCTGCTGAAATGTACACAACTGATATATGCAGCACCGAGAGCTGGCACCAAGGGCTGACAACCTTAATTTGCCTGCAAGAAGGAGCAGAGATTTACCTTCAGAGCACGTTCTTGATTGTTTTCGCCAGTCAGATGTCTCGTGTTGTTTGCTGAAGTCTGGTTCTGCTCTTTCAAACGATGAAGCTCTTGCTCCAGCCGTTTGCACTGCCACAGGGGAAGAATCCCATTAAGAAAAGGAGTTGTAGTATCTTTTTCATCAAGTCACATGAATTAATGCCACTGTATTCTTAGAGAAAAGGTATCTTTTGCAAAGAGAATAGTAAGTTAACAGTAATGTATGAATAAAATACTTTTATTTGCAACTTTCAGTTTGTTTGTTTTTTACTAATCTAAACATTACAAGTTAGAAAATCAGAATTATTTTTATAAAGTTAAGATGAAACTACATTAAAATTTTTTTTTCATTAACCAAATGGTTTTCATTATGTATATACTGGCTGAATATAATAATGCTTCTAAAAATCATATTGGATTATAAATAACCTGTTTTGAATTTTTATTAACTTTTAAAAAGAAAAAATATGATAAAATATGAGATTTTTCAGATTTTTACAAATATTTAAAGGAACAATTGTGCAGGGGGAAAGGTCACAACCACAGAGTGCTTTTAAGACTTGGAAATATTAAGGAAACAAGTGTTCTTAATTTCTAAATATTTTGACTACACCCTATTTTTAAGTAAATCTAGTGATAACAAACATGTGAAATGACATTCTGACCCCCTGGAAACATATGAGATATGAGTAAAAAAAAAAATTATGAATAAAAGCATAAATGGGCTAATAGAAGTATTTGTAAAAAAAAAAATCATTTAAATATCATGCCATTTGCATACAAGTTCTTAAATTGAATATATCAAACATTTCACATAATAATTGTGCAGGATGTAAACTGATATGCTTCAAATCAGGACCATCAGAACATATATGAGGAAATTGGCTAAAGAAATCAAAGTACTAAATCCATCTTTCAGAAAAAAGTTATAAATCACTCTTTATCTATTGTAAAATTAGGGTTATTTATAATTAACAACCAATAAGTAATTATACATAATGATGCAAGACCTAGGCAAAGTTACTTTTAAATTATTTGACAAGTGGCTAGTTGTCATAATGAATTAAAAATTATTATTGTTTTACAAGAAAACCCCAGTGTAAGTAGAAGGAAGGAAATAACAAAAATCAGAGCACAGATAAACGACATAGAGACCAAAGAAACAATACATGAGATCAACAAAACCAAGAGCTGGTTCTTTGAAAGGATAAACAAGATAGATGGACCTCTAGCCAGGCTAACCAAGAAACAAAGAGAGAGGACCCAAATAAACAAAATCAGAAATGAAAGAGGTGAAATAACAACAGACCCCACCGAAATACAACCGATTGTTACAAAATACTATGAACAACTCTACTCCAACCTGGAGGAAATGGACATATTCCTAGAAAAATATAATCTTCCAAAACTCAATCAGGAAGAATCTAAAAATCTCAATAAACCAGTGACTTGGGAAGAAATTGAAACAGTCATCAAAAAGCTCCCAGCAAACAAAAGCCCAGGGCCAGATGGCTTCACAGGAGAGTTTTACCAAACATTCAAGGAAGAATTAAAACCTATCCTCCTCAGACTATTCCAAAAAATCCAAGAGGAAGGAACACTTCCAAATTCCTTCTATGAAGCCAGCATCAACCTAATACCAAAACCAGATAAAGACAACTCAATGAAAGAGAATTACAGGCCAATATCCCTCATGAACATAGATGCCAAAATCCTCAACAAAATTCTAGCAAATCAACTCCAGAAGAACATCACAAAGATCATACACCACGACCAAGTAGGATTTATTCCAGGAATGCAAGGATGGTACAATATCCGCAAATCAATAAACGTGATACATCACATAAACAAATTGAAAGATAAAAATCATATAGTCATATCAATTGATGCAGAAAAAGCATTCAATAAAATCCAACACCCTTTTCTGATAAAAACTCTTAACAAGGTGGGAGTACAAGGATCATACCTCAACATAATAAAAGCTATATATGATAAACCCACAGCCAACATTATACTCAATGGGAAAAAACTAAAACCATTCCCTCTAAGAATAGGAACAAGACAGGGATGCCCACTCTCGCCACTCCTGTTTGACATAGTACTGGAACTACTAGCCATTGCAATTAGACAAGAGGAGGGAATAAAAGGCATCCAAATTGGAAAAGAAGAAGTAAAGTTATCCTTATTTGCAGATGACATGATATTGTACATAAAAAACCCAAAAGACTCCAGTAAAAAACTAATTGACTTAATAAATGAATTTGGCAATGTAGCAGGATACAAAATTAATGCCAAGAAATCCATGGCTTTGCAACAGAGAAACTGCAGAAACAGAGACTAAAAAAGCAATTCCATTTACCATCGCACCAAAAAAATTAAGATACCTAGGAATAAATTTAACTAAGGAAGTAAAGGACCTATATGCGGAAAACTACACGACATTGAAAAAAGAGATAGAGGAAGATGTAAGGAGATGGAAGAACATACCATGTTCTTGGATTGGTAGAATCAACATCATCAAAATGTCCATACTTCCTAAAGCAATCTATAGGTTCAATGCACTCCCCATTAAAATACCAACGACATATTTCACCGACCTAGAAAGAACTCTCCAAAAGTTCATCTGGAACAATAAAAGACACCGAATAGCCACACCAATCCTGAGAAAGAAGAGTAAAGTAGGAGGGATCTCAATACCAGACTTCAAACTATATTACAAAGCCACTGTTCTCAAAACAGCCTGGTACTGGCACAAGAACAGACATATAGATCAATGGAATCGAATCGAGAACCCAGATATCAACCCAAATCACTATGCTCAATTAATATTTGACAAAGGAGGCACGAATATACAGTACAATGGAGTCAAGACAGTTTCTTCAATAAATGGTGTTGGGAAAATTGGACAGACACATGCAAAAGAATGAAACTAGATCACCAACTTACACCATTCACAAAAATAAACTCAAAATGGACACAGGACTTAAACATCAGACGGGAAACCATAAAAATCCTAGAAGCATCCACAGGCAGCAAAATCTCAGAAGTATGCCAAAAGAACTTCTTCACTGATACTACCCCTAGGGCAATGGAAGCTAAAGAGAAAATAAACAAATGGGACTACATCAAAATAAAAAGCTTTTTTACAGCAAAAGAAACCATCAACAAAACAACAAGAAAGCCCACAGTGTGGAAGAACATATTTGCAAATGATACCACTGATAAAGGTTTAATCTCCAACATCTACAAACAGCTTATACAACTAAATAAAAGGAAGATAAATAATCCAATTAAAAAATGGGCAATGGATCTAAATAGAACATTTTCAAAAGAAGACAGAAGGAAGGCCAAAAGGCACATGAAAACATGCTCAAAGTCACTAATTGTCAGAGAGATGCAAATCAAAACAACAATGCGGTACCATCTCACACCTGTCAGAATGGCCAACATTATCAAATCAACAAACGACAAGTGTTGGCGAGGTTGCAGAGAAAAAGGAACCCTCGTGCACTGCTGGTGGGAATGCAAACTGGTGCAACCACTGTGGAGTTTCCTCAAAAAACTGAAAATGGAACTCCCATTTGACCCAGTAATCCCACTTCTAGGAATATATCCCAAGAAACTAGAAACACCAATCAGAAAGGATATATGCACCCCTATGTTCATAGCAGCACAATCTACAATAGCCAGAATTTGGAAACAGCCTAAGTGTCCGTCAGCAGATGACTGGATCCAAAAACTATGGTACATCTACACAATGGAATACTATGCTGCCATAAAAAAGAAGGAATTCTCATCATTTGCAGCAACCTGGATGGAATTGGAGAACATCATGCTGAGTGAAATAAGCCAATCAATGAAAGAGAAACACCACATGACCTCACTCATTTGTGGATAACAAAGAGCATTATAAACTGATGAACCAAAAGATAGATATAGAGACAGTATATCAACAAGTAGACTGTCAAATTACAGCGGGGAGGGGAGGAAGATTTGGGGGAGATAATAGATCAACCGAAGGACTTTTATACATGCATATAAGTACAACCAACGGACACAAAACTCTGGGGAGGGAGGGGATGTGTGGGAGGGAGGGAGGGAAGCAAAAAAAATCAATAAAATATATTTAAAAAAATAAAAAATAAAAAAAATAAAAAAATAAAAAAAGGAGACTAAAAATTATTATTGTTTTACTCAAGATGCTGTCATAATCCATTTCTTACTACTCTAACATTGATTCCTTCTACCTTTGATCTCTATAATATTCTGCAGTCTAAATTATTATTTCCCAAGATAATATAAAAATCCTTCCAAAAAAAAGAATATCAGACTCAATATTGACTTAAATAATATAATGTTTATATATATATTACACACACACACACACAAATTGGGACATACATGCCTCAGAATATTAATACAATTATGAAACCAAAACACATTTATAAATTAAATAAAATAATAATCACAAAATCAAAATGTTTAAAATCCACATTAACGAAGTAGACAGTTTTTGCTGAAACTAAGTTCTTCAAATATAATATAAAGTGGTGGATGTTTTCAAATTGCCATGTCTATTCTACCATGTGCTATGTGACAACTGACCTATCATATTTTTCAAAAAAGATACGAATAAAAATCTTTGTGACATGATACCATTTGGCTTTTGTCTGGAGGGAACACATGACTTACAAATTAAATTGTGTATCTGTCCCTTTTTAGCTGTAACAAAATGTTTGATTGCAATGCAATCAAAGTTCAAATGTGTTTAGTGAAAACTCAAATCATGAGGCATAAAAATAAGACATTAACAGTAAACATCACGATCTAGTAGAAAATATTCTCTACTACAATTATTCTCTACATTTTCAAATAATCTTGGTACAAAATTATTAAGCACTGGGGGCCCAGTGCATGAATTTGTGCACCGTGAAAGGAACTGTGGGCAGTGAGGCTGTGGCGGGCACAGGTCAGGTCTCAGCCCATCCTCTCCACCCTCACCCAACCTCTCCCTCCATGGCCCCGGTGCCCTGTCTGCCCGCAGCCCCGCTGCCACCACCACTGCTGCTCCCACACTCTGAAGGTGCCAG